TCACGGCATCCAGCCCCACGACGCCCTCCCGGAGGGCCAGGAAGCGCAGCTCGGCGACGGCGCACGCGTTGGGGGCCAGCGGACCGACCCGCACGTCGGCCGACAGGCACACGAGCTCGGCGGCGTCGACGACGCTGTTGCGCTGCATGGCGTGCACGACGGTCTCGTCGAGCACGGCGTCGGCGATGAGCGGGTCGCGTCTAGAGCCCGGTCCGGCGGTGGACGGCGGGCGGATGACGCGCAGGTCGTTACGGCGGCGGCGCGGGACGGGCACGAGCATGAGCTTGCGCGCGGCGGCGGCGGCGGCGTGACGCGCCAGGGCCGAGGGGGGCGCTGATGGCGGCGGTGGCATGTCGGGCTTGCTGCGGTTGACGACGAAGACGGTCCACACGAACTCCTCGCCGAGACGTACGGGTTGGGTTGGGCCTGTGAAGGTCATGGTGATGCCGAAGTCGGGGAGGGCGGTCTCGAGCGGCCGGGCGGTGGCTGCTTCTAGGGAGGGTAGGGCGTCGGGTCGGATGACGGAGGGGGAGACGAGCGGCTGGGAGTCGACACCGCCGCTTATGGAGAGCTGACTAGGTCGATGGGCGCGCTGGATGGCGGTGGGTTTAGGCTGGCCGAAGCCTGGGTTGACGGGAGGCGTGAAATCGAGGGCGGTGGACCAGGTCATGACTAGGCGGGGCGTGCAGGGGTCTGGTTCATTGTCTGGGCGGACGAGGACGACGACTTCAATGGTGATGATGAGCTCGCGGGCGAGGTTCTTACTGACAATATCGCGTTGCTGGGGGGCCAGTTTGTAGAGGAAGGTGAGGTGGTCGTAGGCGACGCAGCTAAGGGGGAGAGCCATCCCCTCTTGGTTGTTGAGGTCTTCAACAGTGCCGTCTGTGACGCCGAGGGTGAGTTTGTCCAGGGCAACCTCGCAGTCAAAATAGGGGGTGAAGTCAACTTCGAGAAGAGCGATTAGTGAGGCGCTTGGCGGCGTGGTGTTGGGCCGCGAGAAGCGAACCCGGGTGTGGAGAACCGGATAGATCCTCAGTTTGAGGTTTTGTAGTCCGCTTATACGGTGAAGGGCGTCTTTTGGTTTGGTAAGGGGTGCTACTCTGGACACCCTCTGGGCAGATAGTCGAGGTGCGGTGCCACCCAGAAACGGATCGTTCGCAAACGACTCGAGCACGTTCATTCCCGACGGCATACAGCTCTGCATGTATCCCTCACCTAGGGCGCCAAGTTGACCAGAATCCGCGGTGTCCATCTTAAGATTCGCAGTCCCCGTAAACACAACCGACGGCAGCTGTAGCCGCATCCTGGGGCGGCTTAAGAACACCGGGCACTTCCAGACAGCATAAGCACGTCTTTGGCCCTCCTCTCCTTGCGGCTCTTCCGCAACCACAACAACCTGCTCCACATCCTCGACGGCACCAGTGTAGATCGTTTCGGACGCGGGGGCGGCCCCGTCTCGGTCAGTGATGGCGCCGTTTACGATGTGGGTGTCGAGGTTAATGACGAGGCGGCGCAGGTGCGAGCGGAGAGTCTGATCGTCAGAGTAGGGCGCACGAAGAATAAAGTACACGTCGACGGTCTCATCTGCAATTCGCGCATGAGCAAGGGGCAAAATTCGAGCAGGAGCAATTTGCGAACCTCGTACCAAAGAACAGCTGGTCGCGTTGCTCGATGCTGGAGATGTTGCTCTCTATTGAACCGCCGTCTTGCTGGAGCGCTTCCTCGGGATCGAATTTGGTTGTGGAGGGGATGATGTATGTGAGGTACGACTGATTGAGGAAGGCGTCTGCCACGTCAGGCACATCGCCTGTGTCGCGAACATCGACCTCAACACCAACATCAACGCCAACATCAACACCGTCGCCGTCGCCGTTGGGTTCTGGAAGAGCCATGGCGTATGACGGCGGCGCTCTTTGTCTGTTTGTGTTCTGCGGTGGTCGGCCTAATTACCTATGATCCCATATAAAGAAATCTAGAAAGACACGCCGACCGGCGGCGTTGTTCCGTTGTTGTTCCGAAATCCAGGAGACAATTTCTCAAGTCATGAATGCAGGTAACTTGAGCGAACAACTAACCTGGCCACCTGCAGGTGCCCTGGCTGGATGGAGTTCAAAGGCAGTCCCCGGTGCCTGCATGGGACCCGCAAGAACCCCCCGCAAGAACCCCTGCAGATGAAGCACCGCTCATGGACCCGAGTCCCACGGCCTGAGCAACCAAAAAAACCGAACTCTGGAGGAAAGCAAGAAATCAAAAAGAAACAAAGAACGGAATAAAACCGAGTAAAAAAAATAAAAAAAAAAAATAAAAGGATTTTAAGAAAAGAAAGAAAAAAAAAGAGTAACTAAACCTAATTCGCTTGAACTTTTGGATGGCTTTTGTTTCCTTTCCCATCGTCAGGTTTTGGTACCGATGTATGTAATCTGTACATCTCGAATCTCCGCCTGGGCGGCCCGCCCGACAGTTCAGCGCCCAGACCTTGGCATAGACGCACAGGTCCAATTGTGACCTGTGCCGAAACAACATTTCGAGCTGTGCAACAATTTCCTCGTCGAGGATCGCCTTCCATCCCTCGCCATCGGCATCAAAGCGCGTGACTCGGGCGCATCCAGCAAACCTCAGCTCGACACCACCTTGAACCCGACGCGCCGAGCCAACCCTACGGGACGTCAAACCTTCCAGATCTGCGACGCGACGCATCCCACGAGCGTAATGAACGCGTCCTTTGCGCCGCCGGGCGCTGCCTGGCAAGAACATCGCACCCCTGATGGCCGCGTTTACTATTATAACCCTCTCACCAAGGTCACGCAATGGACCAAGCCCGAGGATCTCATGACTCCAGCGGAGGTATGTTTAAATGGCGGGGAACTCCGGAATCCTCTCGTATATGCTAACCTAACCTTCGGTGAACCAGCGCGCGCTCGCAAACCAGCCATGGAAGGAATACACCGCCGAAGGGGGTCGCAAGTATTGGTATAATATCGAGTCGAAACAGAGTTCGTGGGAAATGCCCGACGTATACAAACGAGCCTTGGCTGGCGGGGATGCAACCCCGACCACACCAGTGTGAGTATCCCGCAACTCCCAATAAACCGGCGCTTAGACGTTTAAAAGCTGACTGTTCAGAACTCCGGCCACCCCGCTCACCGCTCAGGGCGCTGGCCATCACGGGGGATTCGGAGGTGGCGATAACTACCGCGATCATCGTGAACCTCTTGGTGAATCGCGCCAGCTGACCTTCGGCAACAACATCCAGGCCCAAGCCTTCGTTCCCGCCACCAACGACCCCGAGTATGCCACCGCAGAGGAAGCTGAGGCGGCCTTCGTCAAGCTTCTCCGCCGCAGCGCCGTCCAGCCCGACTGGACGTGGGAGCAGACCATTCGAGCCACCGTTAAAGACCCGCAGTTTCGCGCCATCAAAGACCCGAGGGACAGGAAGGCTGCTTTTGAGAAGTACTGCCATGATGTTGTTGTGCAAGACAAGGAGCGTGCAAAGGAAAGGCTGACAAAGCTGCGTGCCGATTTCGCGACCATGCTGCGAAGCCATCCCGAGATCAAGCACTACACGCGCTGGAAAACGGCACGCCCCATGATCGAAGGCGAGACCATCTTCCGCTCTACCAACGACGAGAACGAGCGGCGCCAGCTTTTCGAAGACTACATCATTGACCTCAAGAAGGCGCACAAGGAGCAACAGGTTACCTTGCGCAAGAGTGCCATGGATGGCTTGATTGAGCTGTTGCCGAATCTGAACCTAGAGCCGTACACGCGCTGGTCCGAGGCCCAGGGCGCCATCCAGAACACAGCCCCTTTTCAAAATGACGAGAAGTACAAGTCCCTCACCAAGTACGACGTCTTGACTGTTTTCCAGAACCACGTCAAGGCGTTAGAGCGCAAGTTCAACGATTCTTTACAGGAAGACAAGAACAAAAGGCTTCGCCGGGACCGCAAGGCCCGAGACAACTTCATCGCCCTTCTTTCCCAGCTCAAGAAGGACGGCAAAATCAAAGCCGGGACCAAGTGGACCGAAGTCCATCCCCTGATCGAATCCGAAGAGCGCTATTTGGCCATGCTTGGCCACCCTGGCTCCACAGCGATGGAGCTATTCTGGGACGTGGTTGAAGAAGAGGAGCGCGCTCTCAGGAGCATCAGGAACGATGTGTTGGACGCTATCGATGTAAGCCGCCATCCCCCTTCTGCTGTTGATAAGCCAGTTAAGCTCACAACCACTAGGATAAACGCTTTGAGATCACCCCGAAAACTACGTTTCAAGAGTTTGAGTCAGTCCTCAAGGGTGATCACCGCACAGCTAACATTGAACGCGATTCCATGGAGCTTATCTTTGAGCGGGTAAGTTGCCGTACCCTTCTACCAGGTACAAACAAAGGAGACGTTGGCTGATATGATGCGTAACAATAGATACAAAAACGGGCCAAACGCTCTGATGAAGACAGGCAGTCTGACCGCCAGCAGCGCCGCGCCTTGGAAGACCTCCGCTCGCACATGAAGCGGATGGAACCCCCCGTCGGCATCAATGACACTTATGAGCAGGTTCGGAGCCGGCTAGCACACGTTCCCGCCTTCCAAGCCGTAGGCTCTGACGAGGCCCGGCGGGGTGCCTTCGAGAAACACATCCGCCGCCTTAAGGAGAAGGAGGACGAGACCGAGAAGGAGCGTCGCCGCCGTGACCGCCCAGACAGCTATCGTGACAGAGGTGAGCGATCTCATCGCAGCAGTGCCCGTTCTGTGAGGAGCCGCAGCCCGGTCGAGCAGAATACCTATGAGGCTGAGCGCCGCCATGCCGTGGCCGAGCGCGAACGTAACTACCGCAAGACCAGCGCCGCCGACGTCCTGCTCTCGGACCGCCGGTCCCCCGCTCGCCGGTCCCCCTCGGTGCGCGACGCGCGCGAACGAGACCGCGACCGGGATCGCGACCATGACCGGGATCGTGACCGCGATAGAGAGCGTGACCGGCGCGACTACCGCGACCGCGATCATCGCGACCGTGACCGGGAGCGTGACCGAGACCGCGATCGCGAGAGGGACCGCGAGAGGGACCGTGACCGTGATCGTGACCACCGTGACCACCGCGACCACCGGGACTATGACCGCCGCCCGCGCGCCGACGAGGCCAACCACTACGACCGCGAGCGCCGCACCCGCGAGGAGGACCGCGAACGCCTCTACCGCCGCCGCGTCCTCGACCGCGACGTCGACGAGCTGCCCTACGGCGACGAGCGGCCCAGCTCCTCCTACTCGCGCACGCGGCCCCGCCCGTCCGAGGAGGACGAACACGACCGCCGCGACGGCAACAGGCACGGTGCCAAGCGCGTCAAGCTCGAGGGCGGCGGCAGCAGCGAGCGCGCCGCCAGCGGTGGCGCCGCCGATCGTCCCCCGAGCCGCGGCCAGCGTACGCCGTTGCATACCAAGGAGCCAACCCCGAGTGTCCGGGCCGGGAGCGAGGAGGGCGAGATCGAGGAAGACTAGTAGAGCCTTGTCGTCATAGAAAATTGCCTGGTGGAGGCTCTGCAGGCTCGGCGGCGATAGTATGTCGCCGCCTCCTCGGGCCGGGGAGGTGGGTTGAGAGGGGAGGAGGAAGAAAAAGAATCTTAGTGGCACAGGATCGATGCGAAGGAGGGCCACCGAAAATGAGGGGTTAGAGGCAGAGAGCGGTGATGGCCCAGCGCCAAACTCAACAGTACGTTGCCCACATCAGCACTCTCTTCACCTAACCATGTCAGGTCGTTTTATCAGTCAGTACGAGTACATTGTAATCAGCCGTGACGGGTGCTTCCTTGCTTAGATGGGAAGTTGCTTGTGGCAGCTATGTAGGAATAAAAATCCAGAATTGAATAGCTTGTATTAGAGTAATAGCAGTTTGTATCTTGCCATCCATCCCAAACAGGGTATTTTGTGCGAGTGATGGTATATTATTACACATAGGCAGCCCCGATCTCACATGATTTCATTTCGAGCCTGCAATGGAAATATTGCAAGTGTATTGACTTCTCAGCTCTCGCCTTTCATGGCTCAATTATCTCAGGCGCTACATTCACTTCGACCTTGCGCAGATTATGCGCTCAGGTCTGGCGGCAGCCATCCAACTTGATCCGTTGCCCCTCAATCTACCGAGATGGCCAGCCCCCGCCCCTCCTCTCTGACCAACGGGGGACAGCTCAAGTCTTTTTGTTCGAAACTCATTCTCGGCAGGACCAGACAACAGGAGATCGACCGCCGCCGCCGATGTTAGATGTCTGGATCGTCGTCCTCGGACACGCCGCTCTCTTCCGATGCACCGTCGAGATATCCCCGGGCGCCGCCGGGCCGACTCTTACAGCCGCCGCCATTTTGAACGCCTAAAACGCCAGAATCAGATGCATCGTCATGAGGGGAGCGGCGGTCGTGCTTGTTATGGGTATCCTGTGGAATGCCCTTTTCAAGAGCTCTTCTCGACATCTTCCAGGAAGAACTGTGGAAGGGTTGTTAGTGAAAATTTGAAAAGATGCGGGACAATCCGAGTGACTTACGTAGTTGCCGCTGAGCTTCTGCTCCTGGTCGAGCTGCGAGTTCGCCTTGTTGATACGGGGGCGGTAGTTAGTCGGGTCACGGCGGAAAGTGACGTCCAAGTTCTTCAAGAAGGTGTTGCAGCCGGTGAGCAGTGACTCGGGCTTGTTGGCATGCGCGTTGATACCCGGTTGACCATCGAAGACGATGACACGGTCGGCGAGATAGGTAGCCATGATGAAATCGTGCTCGACGATGAAAGCCGTCTTCTTAGCGTGCATGATGAATCGCTTGATGACACGGCTAGCCACGATACGCTGTTCGGAATCGAGATCTGGACTCGTGTGAGCATTACTGTGACAATAGGGGTATCAAGAAACTGAAGGTAACTAACAGGCAGAGGGCTCATCGATAAGGTAGATGTCCGCTGGCATACCGAGGGCCAGGACAATGGCCACCTAATGGACGTTAGCAAGGGGCCGAGATCTTCTCATGGGGAAGGAGGATATACTCTTTGCAATTCACCACCAGACAGGTTCTTCACTTCTTGATCGATGAAATCATCAAGCTTGAGAGGCTTGACGACGTCAGTCTGGAATTGAGGAGACAGGAAGGCGGCCTTGATCTTCTTGAAGAACAGCTGCCGAACAGTGCCCTCGAACTTGGGCGTGATAGTCTGTGGCTTCATGCTGATCTTCATCTCCGGAACCTTCTGGGTTCCGTCTGGTTTGAGAGCACCGGCCAGAAGGCGGCAGAAAGTAGTCTTTGCAAATCAGTCACTGAAACCGTAGAGAGGTTGTATTCTAATTAAACTCACCTTGCCGGTTCCGTTCTCACCCATCATGACAATGATTTCTGAGTCGGAAAAGTCGCCGGGGTCGATTTTCAGCTTGAAGTTGCCGAGCGTCTTCTCCATAGCCGGGTAGCGGAAAGCCCGCGACTTCTCGACCATGAACTCCTCGGTGCCCTCTGCGATACGGAAGGTCAAGCTTTCCTCACGGAAGCGCAAGTTCTCGGTCGGGATATGACCATCCAAGAAGATGTTGATGCCTTCGCGGACCGAGTAAGGGAGGGTAACAACACCGTAGACTGCGGGCTTGCCGTAGAGAACGCAGACGTAGTCCGAGAGGTAATCCAGCACTGACAAATCGTGCTCGACGACAATAATGTAGTCGTCAGGACGCAGGAGTGACCGGATGATGCGGGCAGCACTCAGTCTCTGCTTGACATCAAGGTACGACGACGGCTCATCGAACATGTACCTGCCGCTTGTTAACTACCTAGGCTCGGCAAATAAGCGGAAGAATGAAAACTTACACGTCGGCTTTCTGCACACAAACAGTACCGATGGCGAAGCGCTGAAGCTCACCACCAGAAAGCAATGTAACATCACGGTCATAGATGTGGCGTAGCTCTGTCTCGCGTTAGCCAACCGAGCCTGGCTTGATCTGAAAAAGGGCAAAAGTACCCAGGGTGTCGATCACCTCATCGAGGTTGTCTAGTGAGGCTCGGCTTTCAAGCAATGACTTGACACTCTTGTCGGGGGTGCGGATAGCTCTGGGGATCTGGTCGACGTACTGCGGCTTGACGACGGCCTTAAGGTCATCCTCGAGCAGCTTAGTGAAGTAGTCTGTTCGCGTGTTAAGCAACCGGAGGCCCCAACCCAGCGCAGTCCAACTTACTCTGCAGCTCAGAGCCACGGAAATACTTGATCACATCCTCCCAGTCAGGCGGGTTGTCGAATCTGCCTAGGTTGGGCTTGAGCTTGCCGCTGAGAATCTTGAGAGCTGTACTCTTGCCGATACCGTTGGTTCCCACGAGACCGAGGACGTTGCCGGGCCTCGGCATGGGCAGACGGTGAAGCTTGAAACTGTTGGCGGAATAACGGTGGGTGATCTGGCTCTCGAGGTTCGTGGGCAAGTTGATAATGGTGATGGCACCGAACGGGCAGCGTTTTGGGCAGATACCGCAACCAATACACAGCTGTTCCGAGATGAAGGCGATGCGAGATTCCGGGGTCACCTTTAGGGGAAACATTTAGGCACGGGTGTCTTGCGAGCGGTAGCAGTTGGTTCCAAACATACCTCAATCTGCAACGAGTATTAGCCCCTGGGCATCACACGACAAAGAAAGGGGGAAACAAACACAAAGCTTGCCTGATCGGACCACCGGGCAGGACTTCTTGCACTCTTGACGACATTTCTACCCTCCCCGTCAGCACCGCCACCCTGCTATGGCCTTCCTCCAAGTCATAACACACCTTCGGTTTGCACTATTCACACCCATAGTCAGCCTAGTTCGGTTCTTTTCTACTCCTTTCCCTTGTAATTCTGGTGACAGAGGGAAAGGCCGGGGTTCGAGGATATGTCGTACCTTGTCGGTGCTGACGATAGCGACACTATTCCGGCGCTGTCAGCGAATGTCCTGCCGCAAGGTGTCCTCTGTTTTTTTCCCTCCTGTTTTTTTTTTCTCCAATTATTTCAGCAACTAGGACACATACCGAGTAAGTTTGTCGGCCATGATGCTGGTTCTTGGTCGTTATGCGGGGCACGGCTGCCTACTTTTGAACCAACAGCGGTTTTGTGGTTGAGAACTTGAACGGTCGCAAACCAGGAATAGCACGGCCTCCCTCAGACAGTGCACGGTACTCGGTGCGCGAGATAATGCGGGTTACGGGTGGGCATGAAACCTCGAAATCCAAATGCTAAAAGGAGGGGCACTTGCATCAGTGGGTCAAAATCTTGTCACCTTGTCCCGCGAAAATGCACTGCTGTTGGGTCTCGGCTTGTGGGGAGAGAGAGGGGCAGGGCAAAAAGTCCAAGACCCACACATTGGCACAAAGAGCAAAGGCGCGTCGAGCAGCTTGGCGGCGTCAGCCCCAATGCGCCGAGCTTGATAGGCCAGGAGCTTCAGGCCAGCGGAACCAAAACATGGAGTCTCGATTTCATATGTAGGTACCTTAGGTAGCCTAGCTTGCCTAGGTAGCATAGGTTCCCCCGAGTTCATGTTAATCAGCGACTCAAGCCCAAACTACCTAACTAGTGTCTGAGATGGCTGTTTGCTATTGACGCTAGAGAAGCGGAAACGGACAAGTGCTTAGGCCTTGGATATAGATGGGTGTGTTTCCCTTGGGTATGAAGGTCTTGCAACTCGAGGGTGGTTGATTTGCATTCAACGAAAAAAATATCTGAAAGCTTCAAGGATAATCATAAATGATACTCTTAATAGTTATATGTTTAAATTGTGCCTCAGTATACTTTAAGATGAATCGAGAAGATTACAGCTACGTGAGTAGGTTGTCAAGTCATGGAAGTGATGGATGTGCTCTGACTCGTTGGCTAACACATAGTAGGTGTTGAGTGAGGTGTTGCAGCCCTGGGTAATGGGGCATAGAGGAACCAACGTAAGCTAACAGCTTACTGCTCTCTTTACTTTTCTAAGTGAGTATCTTTTTTACGTGCATCTAGCCTTGCGGTATATAGAACCTGAAATAGCATTAAAAGCGACTTTTTGCTAGTGGAGCTCGGCGGTGTGTCCATGGCAGTTGATTCTCGGTGCTACGACACACTCGCAGGTGGTGATGAGGGAAAAGCACTTTGTAACTGAATTCACGTTCTCTACTTGCAGAGAGAAAAACTCTCAGAATAGAAAAAAAACACGACCATTTTCCATCCCTCGATCCCATTAGTACCAAAAGAGCCAGCATCCACGTGAACAGGTTTGATGCTAGACCAGACAAGGCAGCTTTGTGAGGTGGCCCAACCTCACAACCGTTTCTCATCACGGCTGAAAAGGCTTGGCTCTGGCGGCAGCCTCACCGAGAAAGCTGTTGGAGCCAATCCGCGCCTCTTAAGTGGGGTCTTTACCAGGCTCAGCACAGGCCGTCGAGTGCCTGGCTCCGATTCACCATTTTCCATTCTTTCTCCTCCGACCGACCACCACTGCGAATTTCCGCTACACCATCAATCAATAAAACGCACTGGGGTCTTCACAACTCGCCAACCCCACCACAACCTCGATCAGAAAAGACTTTGAACAAAGTTGAATATAAGTGTCTGCTGCCTAGGAGGATGTTAGTTGATTACCTGTAAGTATTGCACTCGATGTTCCTTGCACCCTCCGCCACGTCGTGACCCGCCGCGTCTTGTCTATCGAAATCCGCCATCGATCCCAGCACACGCCCATCGAGATCACCCCCTAGCTGCCTCCTGGCGACATCGAGCCCTCGAATTTTGATGGAACCCGATGCCCTCGATGACCCCGATGCCACCTGAGTGGTCTATTCGGCGCCCAAGGCCGCCCAAGGCCGCAATGGCTCTCCGCCATCACTCCCAGCCTCGTCTTCATCACTTACACGCGCCGGATGCGACAAGCATCATTGAATCGTGGCCATGACTTGTTTTTTACTGTTGTTTGTCGGTTCTGGATCGCCGGAGTGGGCTCTATCCAGACCCCCCCGATAAAGCCTCTCAGCTGTGAGAGAATTCTTGCTGACATCGTCGTCTTGCAGCAGGCAGCTCGAGCTTCGAAAATCGTCATGTCAACATCCCCAGAACCCGGTCCGATGAACGGGCATACCTCACCCTCAGGGGACGAAGATACAACACATGTAGCCGACTTCTCCAGAAGTGATAGCGACTTGTCGGACACACAACCGGCCGAGGTTGACGCCGCATCCTCGGACTCGGACGATGCCGCCGGCTCGGCGGACGAGGGCCCGGCGTTTACCACCGAGGAGCAAGATGACCAGTCCGGGTCCACTGATAATGATGGCCCGGGTGATGAAGATTTCGATGCCCCGGGCAGCCCGGCCTCTGGACAAGGCCATGATGTTTCTGATGAGGCCGAGTCGGCCTCTGCACATGCCGCCGCCAAACGGAAATCCGGTCAGACAATAGAAGACGATTTCATGCGGGAGAATCCAGAGCTGTATGGCTTGAGGCGCAGTGTATGATGATATCCCACCACCGCTTTTATTATCGGCTGCTAACAATCCGCTAAAACAGTCCCGTCCCTCGCAACGTCGGAAACTCGTGAGTGCTTCTCACAACAAGGTGGTCGCGGATCTTGTACTAACGATGGGCAATAGGTTGACTCAGAAGATGAAGAGGAAGGCTCTGATTTTGATACAAGGCTTGCTCCGAGAAAGACGACGACTAAACGCCGTCGCCTCGAACGTTCACTGCCTAGTATGTCGGGCCTTGAATCAAAACGTGCCCACCTTGCCAACAATGACTAACCTTTTTGACGTGACAGCTTCTAAGCGAGGCACGCCGGCTCGTCAGGCCTCTGCAGACGATTCGGACTCCGACACATACGGCGGTGCGAAAGCCCGCATGTTCCGGAAAAAGGCTCGGCGACAGCAAGAACTGCAACCGTTTGCCGAGAAGCGATGGTCCAACCGTCGTGCCGCTCAAGTGTCGGCCGGCGCTTACCAAGAAAGCGACGTGGACGACAACGAAGGGGAAGACGAGGCCACCCCCGGCTATTGGGCCGCGGACGTAGAGGACAATTCGCCTTACATTGAAAAGATCCTCCGCCATCGCCCCAAAGAAGGCATCGAGCTCACGCCCGACGCTACTCGGCACGACTTTGAATTTTTTATCAAATGGCAGGGCAAGTCTCATCTCCACAACACTTGGGAGAGCACCGATACTGTCGCTGGCTTCCGCGGCTTCCGCCGCCTTGAGAACTACTATAAGAAAATGGTAGAATACGAGCTTGATCTGAAGTTTGGCGGCGATGAGATTAGCCCCGAACAGCGCGAGCAATGGTCGTTAGACAGAGAGCGTGAAGAAGAAGCATTGGAAGACTACACCAAGGTCGAACGCATCGTCTCCGTCCGCGATGGAGACGAAGACCTCGAATATCTCGTCAAGTGGAAAGGCCTCCAGTACGATGACTGCACATGGGAAGATGCCACCGTGATCAGTGGTCATGCACAAGACAAGATTGACCAATTCCTGGATCGGTCGTCACGCTCCTGGCAATCAGATCGAAGAGAAGCAAACCCCGATACCCGCTCAAGGATGACCAAATTGGAGCAGCAGCCATCCTATGTCACGAATGGCGAACTTCGCGAGTTCCAGCTAAAGGGACTCAACTTCCTTGCGCTCAACTGGACACGGGGGAACAACGTCATTCTGGCCGACGAAATGGGTCTCGGTAAGACGGTCCAAACTGTCTCATTTCTCAGCTGGCTCCGCAACGATCGCGGCCAAGAGGGGCCTTTCCTTGTCGTCGCCCCTCTTAGTGTCATCCCAGCGTGGTGCGACACTTTCAACCACTGGGCTCCAGATATCAACTACGTCGTCTACCTGGGCCCCGAGGCGGCCCGCGCCAGCATCCGAGAGCACGAGCTGTTCGTAGATGGAAATCCGAAGAAGACCAAATTCAATGTTCTGGTCACCTCTTACGACTATATTCTTGCCGATGCCGAGAATCTCAAGGGCATCAAGTGGCAGGTCCTCGCAGTCGACGAGGCTCATCGCCTGAAGAACCGGGAATCCCAACTGTACCACAAGCTTAACAGTTTTGGTATCCCCTGCCGGGTCCTCATTACCGGCACACCAATTCAGAACAACCTTGCCGAGCTGTCGGCACTTTTGGACTTTCTCAACCCCGGAAAGGTCTTGATTGACGAGGAGCTTGAGTTGCTCTCGTCGGCCGATAACAAGGAGGTCGCCGACGAAGAGCAGAGCGAGGCCAAGCGCAAGAAGACTCAAGAAAAGCTTCGGGAATTACATACCTCCATTGCGCCTTTCATCTTGCGCCGGACCAAGGAGACGGTCGAGTCTGACCTACCGCCGAAGACGGAGAAGATCATTCGTGTCGAACTCTCCGACGTCCAGCTGGAATACTACAAGAATATCCTCACGCGGAACTATGCTGCCCTCCGTGATGCTAGCAATGGTCATAAACAATCCTTGCTCAATATCATGATGGAGTTAAAAAAGGTCAGCAATCACCCGTACATGTTCGCGGGTGCCGAAGAGCGGGTGCTTGCTGGGAGCTCTCGTCGAGAGGACCAAATCAAGGGCCTCATCACCAGCAGCGGCAAGATGATGCTCCTCGACCAACTCCTTGCGAAGCTAAAGAAGGACGGCCACCGTGTCCTAATCTTCAGTCAGATGGTTAAGATGCTCGACATCTTGGGCGACTATCTTCGAGTACGCGGTTATCAGTTCCAACGGCTGGACGGCACAATCCCCGCTGGGCCTCGCCGTATGGCCATTAATCACTTCAACGCCGACGACAGTGACGACTTCTGCTTCTTATTGTCAACAAGAGCTGGCGGCCTGGGCATCAACCTGATGACCGCTGACACAGTCATCATCTACGATTCGGACTGGAACCCCCAGGCCGATTTGCAGGCAATGGCGCGAGCCCACCGGATCGGGCAGAAACGGCCTGTTAACGTCTATCGCCTGGTTGCTAAGCAGACCATCGAAGAAGAAGTCGTTAATCGCGCGCGCAATAAACTCTTCTTAGAGTACCTTACCATTCAAGCCGGCGTCACGGATGAGGGCAAGGCCCTCCGTGAGCAGTTCAAAGAGAAAGGTGTGAATATCGACGAGGCAAAGACGGCCGAGGACATCTCTATGATTCTCAAGATGCGTTCTCAGAACTTGTTCGAACAATCCGGGAACCAAGAGAAACTCGAGCAACTTGATATCGATGCGATACTCGAGAATGCCGAGGTCACCAAGACTGACGTTGATGACAAAATCAACCTCAGCAGTGGCGGTATTGACTGGGAGAATTGGATGCAAGTCACGGATGTCAAAGTCGACGATCTGGCTCTCGACTGGGACCAAATCATTCCTGCGGAAGAGCTTGCTGCCATCAAGGCAGGAGAAGAACAGAAAAAACATGATGAGTACCTAGCCAAGGCGATGGAAGAAAATGCTCCTCGCAAGGCTGCGCTCAAAGGCTCTAAGAAGAGTATCGAAACTGACCGGGCCGAACGTCTCGCGAAGAAACGACAACGCGAGAAACAGGAACTGGATGAGCTGGAAGAGCAGCGGGCGTTGCTTTCGGATCCACGGCGTCCTCTTAACGAGAAAGAGACGCGCAATCTCATCCGCGCCTTCTTCCGTTACGGATTTTTTGACGACCGCGAGGAAGAAATCGTCCACGATGCTCGTCTTAGTGACCGGGACCACGGGTTCCTCAAGTCGATTATTGAAGAACTTACCACTGTGAGCAAACAAGCTGTGGATGCCAATGCTGAGAAACTGCGCGAGGAAGAGGAGAAGGCAGGAAAGCCTCTCGCGAAAAAAGACAAGAAAGCTGTTTTGGTGGATTTCGGGGAGGTTCGCAAAGTCAACGCCGAAACCGTTGTGGATCGGCCGCCTCAGCTTAAGCTCCTGCGCCGCGTGCTTGAAGAACACGGCGATGCCATGACGTTCAGGCTGCCAGATGCCAGTAAATCAGCCCAGTACTCCTGCGAATGGGGAGCGCGCGAAGACGGCATGCTCCTTTTAGGGATTGACAAGTATGGCTTTGGCGCCTGGACGCAGATCAGAGATGATCCTGAGCTTCAAATGCACGAAAAGTTCTTCCTGGAAGAGCACCGAGTGGACAAGAAAGAGGAACGCCGCAAAACTGACGACAAGGGCATTCAGTCCCCGGGCGCTGTTCATCTTGTTCGGCGGTCAGAATATCTCTTATCCGTCCTCATGGCCAAATATTCTAACGATCCGAACGCAAAAAAGGCGGTCGAAAATCATCACCGCAGCAAGAAGCTTCTGACGAACGGTGTACGTCGTGGGGAGGGCAGTTCTGTGTCTGCCTCTCCAGCTCCGCCCATGCTTAAGAAGGCGAGCCAACACCGTGATCGCGATCACCACCGGTCTTACAGCAACGCCAACGACCGCGGGACTCCACGGCCAGACAAGCGAAAGTACAGCGATGACTATGACGACCGCAATGCCAAGCATCGAAAGGTGGAAGCCGACAACAGGCACGAAAAGAAGGTCAAGGTGAAGGAAAAGCCAAGGATGGACGCGGCGACCATGGAGAGATACAAGCACGACAGGCAGAAGGCGGTTGAACGGTTCCAGGAGCTTGCGAAGTTGCCTGATGACAAGATTGACAACTCCGATAATACTCAACTGGTCTGGTCAGTTCTCCGGCCGCTTAAGGCAAACATGGAGCGCATCATATACTCCAAAGAGCGGTACCCGGCCACGAAAGAACGGGCTAGAATCCTGGGAGAGGAGATTCGCGCGTTCGGAAGCTTCCTGAAGGGCCTGCGGGCAGACGGCACCGACCTTGACAGCCTGGAGCCCCAGTTCTGGTAAGCAACACCGAGCCTAACTAAACTATCAGATCCCCGCCGAATGCTGACGGATTCACAGGGAATTTTTGTCCTCGATCTGGCCCATCGGCGAAGTGAAGGTTTCCGGCAAGCGGCTCCAGAAGATGTTTGGCGATCTCCTGGAGAAAGACAGGGCGGAGCGAGAGGAGGGCCGAGCCAAGGAGGCCAGGCGTGGGAGGAACCCGGACCTCGAGGATGGCGAGATTGCGAGTGACCGCGAGGACCGCCGTGCCCGAGACCCCTACCGCGACGACCGGCGCGAGGAGCGGCGCGAGGAAAGGCGCGATGACAGGAGGGACGACCGCCGGGAGGAGCCCAAGCGCCGCAACTACTACGAAGACGGCGACCGTCTAAACTTCCAGCGCCACCGCCGGTCGGAAAACAGAAATGTCCCTGTCCGGAACTCGCTGTGGCAGAACCGGAGCCCGCCGGCCAGGCACAGCCCTTATTAGGTTGGGGGCGGAACCCGAAACCGTTTTGATTTTGCCGCTGGAGCGCGACGGATTGTCATTTTCTTTTCCCATGGGTCTTCAACCTCCCTTTCCTTTTTATATTCTACACACATCATGCATAGGTTTGGCGCAACGGAGCTGAAAGAACGGGGGCGACAGGGCGGTGACTTGTCTATTTTTTTGTTTGTTTTATGTCACTCGCCTTTGCGGATAAAGCACATACCCGGGAGTTTGCATCAGTCATGGCGAGGCTATAGGGAGACGCAGGGGGAGGGGCGCCATGGCATCCCATTTTGGGACTCTGGGGTTTTAGGCTTGAGCTCGAGGCAGCGGTGATGTTTTTAATTTCGCTCTGCGTGCAGGGTAAATGATGGGCGGCGCCGTGGCAATATGGAGAAAGAAAAAGGGAAACCATGTGCATTGTTTTAGCGTTGCTTGGGATCTGTTTTCTATTACCTATCATTCTCTGTTTTACGTATAGCTTGGGGGTTGTCGCTAGGGCGCGTAAAATGACGGTCATTGGTGCTACTTTTGTCTCATATTTTTTGCCTTGGGTTGTCAGTCATGGTCAGCGGCTCGAGCCAGATGTTTCCTCCGTTCCTACACCCTGGCCGATTTTATAGATCATGAGAATAGGGAGAGGCATGGCATATTTGTACTGCATTGGGGTGTCTGACGGATCCTGATAAAGGTAATCAACAATGCTGTATGTATGGGTACATAGTTTATCATCAAGTTTTATTTTTGCAAGTCACTGGAGAGCAAGAAGTGATACTTTCGAAGCAGCAAGTTCAGCCAACCCCCAGGGTTGGTTGTTTATCTATATTTTCAAGCATAGGAACTCTCGACGGAAGATTATCCGTTCTATCATGTTGCAATTATTTCGGTTTTCGAGCCAGGTTCGGCATCGCCGACTGGGACGACCATATTCCTCCCAAGTGGTGCCCTCTCTCTCTCACCCTCTCAAACCCGGGTACCAGCACAGCAATATCCCAGCCCATCAAACGGAAAAGAACCCTCCCGTGGGCCTCACGAGTAAAACCATCGTAATTATGCCCCCCAATTCACCAGCACCCCTATCCCCTTCCTGATGCCACAGCAAACAGAGCCACGCCGCCCGCTGCAACCCCCAACCGCCCCACCTTCATTAAAAGCCCCTGACCCTCCCTGTCACATGCCACAGCACCCCGTAGCCGGTCAATCAATGAGATGACTCATGCTCCTCGGCTTGGAGGTAGGGGAAATGGTGCCCAAGGACGCGGCGTTGGTCTCTTCGACCGGGGTGGTCGGGGGGCTGCTCGCCATGTTCTCCTCCCCGTTCCTGGACCTTGCCGCGCCCGCCCGGCGAAGGGCACCGCTGTTATCGGTGTTCGGTGGGCCAGTGAGAACAGTGAGCGGGATGGATTTGGTGACCTTGTTTTTGGGGCGCAAAGAAGGCAGGCTGAGAAAATCGGCCGGCAGGTCGATGGGGGAGGACAAATCTGAAGAGTCGGCTTCCGAAGGAGGCCGCCTTGGGGGGGTTTTGATGTCTTTGAGTGTCACTGATATGGTGGACTTGGTGGCGCGGAAGGTTTGGTCGAGCCTGTTTCTCGGCTTTGCGGGCTCCTTCTTGGCCTGACGGGGCTTCCGCTTGGGGGCAGCGGGTTTTGGTGGTAGGGCGGTTGTCGAAACGCCCTCTTTGCCGAACGCGAGGGTACCCTGCTTTGATTTCCCCTTGGCCACCGGCTTGACGGAGGGAAGAGGGCTGCGGACTCGTGGAGTCGCGCTCGGAGTAGGCATGCCGCCGCGCCCGGGGAGCTCGAATCTTCGGTCCGCGGGTGCCAGCTCCTCCCGAGAAGCGACAAAGCCCTCACCATCCGCGCTTCTCGACCGCTTGCGCTCGAGAAGAACGTCGATCCTATCGCGATTCAGACTGTCCGTGCACCTCTTCTCCTTCATTTCATCCCCGGTGACCATATAGCTCTCACGGTCTCCAATATCCTGCTGATCCCAGCGCGGAAGGTTGACGAGCTCTGCGATATCGTCGCACTTCCCGCGCACCACGAGATCCCAACAATCCTTGAAATCGGCGCCTTGCGGCTCCGGGTCAAGATTAACCCACGCTGTGATGCCGTCCCTTCTGCTCCGGGTCAACTGGCACATCTCCTTGACCAGCCTCCGTACCCCAGGGATTTTTAAACTCGTGCCGACCACAATGACGGCGTCAGGAACCCTCCGTAAGTCGGCCTTGGACACGTTTCCGATGGCCTCCTCGTCTGGATTGTATTCGTTATAAAGCACGATCCTTGGGCGCAACTTCCCAATTCCGTGGCTCCGCTTCCCCGCAAAAGCAGTCCGCACCTCATCCTGTTCCTTGCACTTCTCGCACGGCGGCGGTTCCGGGCCCTCGAACAGCGATGCGTTGAAACGTTCCAGGTAGCCACACTTTGTGCACACCATATTTTCGAGTCCGCCGTGGAGCTGGATAGTTGTCGGCCAGGGCGCCTTGGTGTTTAGAGGGACTGTAGTCGCCAGGGGCGGCATCTGGGTGTCGAGGGTATCAATGTTTTGGCTATACATGCGCATAAGTCTGCCCTCGGCGGCGATGGACGCCAGCATGTGGTGAAACGGGGTCGGCTTCGCATCGGAGGTCATCTGAGCCAGCTCGCGAACCATGGTATGGAAGGATTCGGTGGACGAATCGTGTTTGTATACCGACGCATCGAAGAGATGTTTCCCGGACGCCTTAAGTTTATGCTGCCCACGGAGAGTGGCGAACAGGCCTGTCGAGGATCGGAAATCGGGAACTACAACCAGTGTTAGCGGACGGACTGGGACCCACGTTTTGGTAAAGAGGAAACTTACTTCCTGCAGATACGGAGATGCCAGCACCTGCAATGACCACAATCTTCTTCTTCTTTCGCAGAGCCACCATGAGCCTCTTGAGATCCGCATCCTCCTCTTCGCCTTGATTTTCCAAATCGATATAGGCGGTGGTGCGTGGCTTCGCGGGAGCGGCAATCCGGCGGCGCTTACTCGGCGGGGGTCCATCTGTCCGCACCTGGGATTTCCATGTCGGGAAATTTCACAGGCGATGCGCTTCCCGACACGGTAGTGGAAGAAGGCGAAGGGTAGCGTTTAGAAATATATAGCGCGCTGGGTGGAGAGGGTGAGTTTGAAAGGACGGAGAGCGGCGAGGAGAGAGGGGAGGAAGGAAGCCGCTGGTGTTCTAGAGATTCCATGATTGCAATGTTGGTCTGTTGAGGGCCCACGTGGAGTCGGCAACGCTTCAATTGCGTGACTGATTGGAAAGCTGGCTTCTCGGAGTGGAAATGGGCCCTAGCCGAAAGAAAGAATGGAAGGTGCGAGGTTATATCATGGCTGTTGTGCAGGCGCGTGTTTTTGACAGCTTTGCGCAGTCCTTCTCATTCATCTGTTGGCGTTTGGGCTAAGAACAATACCGGTCTCTTGGTAGGTAGCCCAGTGGTATTGTTAACTCCTATTCAGGAGTTGGCGCATGAATGGCCTGAATGGCTTGGATGGGGGTGGTAGTTGAAGGGATGGAAGTTGGTTGTTGTCGTGCATTCATTAACGTTACAGATTATTCACGGCTGGGCATTGTTGCGGGTTGGCCTTCCATCTTTGTCGGGGGTTGTTGGCAAACCAAACCAAAAAGGGGCACGGGATCCATGGAATGGTGCCAGCGATTGGCAGCAGAGCTCATTCCCTCCCCATCAGTTCACGGCCCCGAGCGTGACTTTGCTACTTTGCTGGCATCATTTCGTCACTACCTAGGTTCCTACCTAGGTAACAAACATCGTCTTGCCAGCAACTGGCTATGCAGTTTTTAAAGAGCAGCCACCTGCATATAAATATGCACTAGCAGTACTTTTTGTAGAGTCATGAAGTGGACTTTTTTCGTTTGGTGCTCAGTCCATTTTTTTAGAGAGAACCCTCCCTGGCTCGGTACTTTCGGGAGTGGCCTGGTTAAACATGGAAAAACCACCTGCTTCCCGCAAAAGGAAAACGGGGGAGAGGGGTCAGCTGGGAATAACTACCGGATCATCTTTTTTTTTTCTGGGAAATGCTGATGATTCTGTCAATCTAGTGTGACTGCCCACTTTGACAGCCATTATCATCAGTGATGATGTCTGGAGCAACCTCGTACCTCTTCCCGCCGCTTCAGCCCCAAACCCAGATGACGTGCCTCGGGTGCTCTTCAAGGGGTCCAGCCAGGGCCCAGCCCACAAGGAGGAACCCGATCCACTGCACTTCAGCGCGTTGCTCGGAAACGGGGCTTGGCATGCCCGGCATGCCCCGCGTGGTTGACCGTTCCGTCCCTGCTCTGGCAGCCGCAGCTCGGTACCGAGTTAGCCACACCTTGGCGTTTGAACTGTGGCTTGAACTACACTTGCGCAGTGGGGCATGTTCCATGCCAGAGGCGTGTGGCTGCATCCAGTAGGCCTGATAGCAGCTAAGCTTCTATCTCATCAAGGTTACAACTTCCCTGCACAACTGGAAAGTTAAAACACCTTCCTAGGTAAACCGTCATTCATCATTTGCGTTCCTAATTTAGTTATATGATAAGCCACTCTCACTTTTCCATTCATTTCGGCTGCACAGATAACTTTTCTCCTCGCAACGGTGGACAACGCTGAATAAGGCTGGCAAACACCATCCATCAATCATCTCCAATTCTCCAGTTATTCATTGGGTTTATTTCAGGGTCATCCACCAACTGCCCAATATCGCACTCCACTTGCACTTATTAGTTGGTGCATTATTGGACATCCTACAACCAACCTTATTAATACCACTCATACCACTCGTCTCCCACCCGTATGAGCAACCACGACATGGCCCTTCTCTTAGAGGGCGACTCTATGAACGTCGACGGAACCATGCAGGGGTTAGAGGGAATCGAAGGCATGCAGGGGATTCAGGGCATGGAGGGGATGGAGGGAATGGGGGGAATGGAGGGGATGGAGGGGATGGAGGGCCTGGGGAGTATGGGTAGTGCTATGGCGCTGGAGGAGGTCGACCTGTTTGGGGACCCCGTCATGGACGACGCCCTCGCCGGTCTGCCACCTCGCCCCCTAGTGAGCAAGAGTCTGCTGCAGCGTTTAGACGATCTACGTGTTCGTGGCTGTTGCCAGGGAATTGCCTGGTCACGACAAGGCACCATTGCTACCATCGCCAAGGACGCCATGTCGGTCGAGCTGCGCTTCATCCGCAGCCATCCCAGATACCACCGAATGGGGCCTCAGCGAGCCAAGTTCATGGTCCCCCCCCTTCGCCTACCGTATCCCCGCCCGCCCCAAACCCTCCTGCCTCCATCTCGCTAGCCTCATCTAGCGCCCCCTTCGTCCACCTGGCCTGGAGCCCCACCATGAGTCCCGATCTCGCTGTCATCGATGCCCTCGGACGCCTCACCATCCTGAGTTTCTCCATCGCCAACAACCAGCCTTATCCGGCCCGCCGCTGGGAAACCGACGCCGCCGACGACCTCCACGCCGTCGTTGGCTGCTATTGGTTGCCCCAGGGAATGGCTTCTAACAAGCAGGCAAGTTGGTTTGGACGTACCCTCAGTCGGCGAATGATGCCTCCCTAACTCGCTCCTCAAAAAGTTTCATCTTATTCACGGCCCAGCTACCAAAAGCCAGTCCGAGTATAGATATGAACATCAGTTCTTCCCAGCCTCGGGCCCTTGGCACCCGAACCCATCTAAAAGTGCCTTCCTATGCGTCACAACGAATGGCTTCCTCAAACTTTTCTTCACGCAGAATAACGGCCGGCCAGAAGAAACGGCGCTTGAGCTCGAGAGCGTAACCTCTTCTGACGATCTAATCACGCACGCCTCGTTGTGTTCTGACAAGAGTAACGGCTCTCCCCGATCCCCTTTTTATCGTCTCGTCGGCTAATACATGCACGCCCTCAGACACTCTGTTGGTCGCTCTCGCAACCTCTTCAAAGCAGCTCAGGATCGTGAGAGTTGGCATCCAGTGGGGCCTGCCTCAGGTCGATAAACAAGTGTTATCCCAGAGTCAGCCCCTGAGGCCATCTCTTCGAGAAAGCCACGTGGCTGTGACCAGCTGGGTTCAATATGGGTCAAGTGAATCAGCCGTGGACGCCTCTGTATCTCGGCTTTCGCATATCGAAATCCTCCCTTCCGCTCACACGGCCCAGTCACAACCCATGCACCCTCCTGTCGTCCTGACAGTGCGGTCTTACGTCCCACAAGACGCCTCTTCCTACCAACAAGAGAGCCAAAGCATCATCGACCGCTGGGAGGTTCTTAGCGACCAACCCCAGGCCCTTGTTCCTGCTTTCGAGCAGTTGGGGTCGAAAAACGGTAACACCTCAGCGCTTCCCGTACGTATTCCGCAACTCGATATTTTACCTCCATAGCGTAACTAAACTTGTGTATTCTAGACCTTGACACACCTGCGCAAACTCGAGCCGATAATACTGCCCAAAGTGGTTGTGGCTGTCACTACAACACAATTTGGCAGAGTACTGTGTTTCGCCTTCAGTGATGGGACCGTCCAGTACAGGAATCGCTTCACGATGGATGAGATATACAACGAGCTCAATACTGACAGTATCATGCATCCCCTCCAGGTCGGATTTCACTTTGTCAACGATACCCCATGTGAGTACTTCCTCCCCCTACCCTACCATCTGCCTGTCGCCTCTACTAATATTATTGCTTTACCAGGCTTGCAAGTAGCCTTCTCACCTACCAACTGCTCCTTCGTCCAGATTGGTGAGGACTCGGCTATCAAATGGAATAGACTACACCACCCGATGGAAAACTCGGAAACCGAATTCAAGAATGGTATGGCTGTCGTCCCGTGATTATACGGCACGATCTCAAGTGAATGCTAATGAGCCTTGCTCTAGTTGATCAGAAGACAATCCGAGTCGCCCTAACTGTTGCGTTATCCGCCACTGCCGCGAGCCAGGGCTGCATGTGACGATGTTTTAGCAATAGCCCGGCCGTTTGCGCAATTCCCAGACTTCGCATCTTCATGGGTAAAGGAAACGGTCAACATGTTGAAGATTGTCGTCGACTACTCAGAAAATACCCACCACGAACAGCTTGTCAAGAACGTTCCACTGCAACACTGCCTCAGCGTCATCAACCATCTCGGCTTCCACGGCGATTTCAGGCCCCGCTCGCATGGCGGCAAATTCGCCATGCTTGCGCTGAGCGTAAAGGGTGCCTTCCTCGTCATCACAGTTGCCAGCAACTCGCCAATAGGCACCAAAGAGAAGCTGATCCCTCTCGACGACCCGGATGTGGTGGACGCTGTAACGGGATGCACGGCCTGGGGCATCTCGCTGCTTGCCTGGCTTTCGGATTCCCTCTTTGAGCTCCTCGACGACCCGGAGATCACCGCCATGCTCAGCGGCCCGAAGCGCTTTCCCGAGCTAGCCAAATACCTCGAATCCAAGAACAACGTCGCCCTGCAGCTTCTCCTCTGCTCCTCCACGCGGGGCTTCCTTTTGGCTCTCTGCCGCCGCCTGCAGCACATCGAGACAGTCAGCAACCGCGCCGCCCAGTACTACGAAACCCGCTTCCAGCAGCAGCAGGACCCGGCTAGCGGTGGCGCGGCACCAGCCCGTCCACACCCAGCCCTCTCCCGAGCGTACCAACGAATGGAGCGCGTCATCTCCTCCGCCCTCGTCAAAGTCTCGGAATTCGAGCGCCTCCTCAGCGATCTCGGCAGCGACATCCAGCGCTACCACAAGTCC